AAAGGAATTATGTAATCACACCTGTTGAGAACATAAATTACTGCCTGTGTGACTACAGAATAGGAATGCTAATAAAATGTACTTGATAAACGTGATTCGTCAGATTCAAGAAAAGTCGTAATGAATTTTTTAAGACTAGTATGGTTTCGATTGAGATCATAAATGGATAAATGATAGAAAACCTGGAAACACTGGACGACCATTTCGTCCTAGTACGAGACCCTTCAGTGGTGCGCACTCACACTCCCGCGTGTGGGATTTGAACCCAGTACCTCAGGTCTCGTGCGCAGACGCTTAACCTCTACCAAATAATCTAGAAATGCTAGTTTGTGGTCAACTGATTCTAGTTCGTTCGTTAACTTAATGTTTTCTCAAATGCTGTTTACATTGTTAAACAGTTCTTCTAAACCATCCCGTTTATTGATAATAAAAATATCGTCTACATACCATAACCATAACTTTGGTGGATATACACTTCTTGCGATTGCACTATTTTCTAGGGAATGCATGAATAAATTCGGTACAATCGGACAAACTGGTGAGTACACCGTAGTCATGCCATATCGTAGTGAAACATCAGAAGAAATCAAAAGGATTCTAAACGAACATGATACAAAAGTGTATTTTAGGGCGACTAACACCTTAAGATCGACATTAGTGAAAGTTAAAGACAGGTTACCAAAGGAAGAACAACAGAATATTGTGTATGAAATCAACTATCATGATTGTAATGCAGCCTATGTTGGAGAAACATCCAGACAATTGAATGTAAGGTTGAAGGAACACAAACAATGTTTGAAAAATGTTCCCAAATCCTCGGTTGAGTTGAAGAAGCTAGAGATTAAGTCTGCGATAGCGTTACATGCGTTAGAAACAGGACACAAGATCAATTTTGAAGAGGCCAAAATACACCCATAAGGAAATATTGACAGCAGAAACGCTGTATATTTGGTCGAACAAGAACAGCCTGAACCGAAACGATGGTATTCAACTGGCGACTACCTGACAAATTTCGTTTGTCAAGTAATTTGAACCCTAACTTTAGTCAACCTGTTTATTTCACATGCATCATTATTTTTGACTGAATTCAATGAGGTTTTAGCAATACAATCATGTATCTGTTTGATTCTTAAATTTTGACATGTACATCGATGATTCATTTACAATTTTTCAACCTTGAACTTGCACTTTTATTTATTTACTTATCCCTCCAAATATAACATTAAAACACGAAGTTCAGCGAAGGGATCTCTTTTCAACGAATTTATTATCAAGCTGTACAATCGTATATATATGAGAATTTTGTTTTTGTAAAAGTACTAATTCCGTGAGGAAATGTGAACACAGTTAACCATGACGTAATAAAAAAGGTTATAATACTAGATTACGCAATACGAATAATAATAATAATAGATTTAGTGAATATAATAAGATGATTTAAATTTTTTGTTATAATAATTAAAGGTCATAGTGGTGTAAAAATAAATAAGGTAATATGATGGGTATTTACGGATAAAAACAATGAGAATATAAGACATAAGTAAAGGGGTAGTTCAGTAATAATAATAATATTATTATTATTAACAATAATGATAATTATCAGAAGGGGTTTTGTGGAGATTGTAGTGAGCACAATCATTAAGATCATGAGTCAGTTGAAGCTAGACCACCATGGAAAACCTGGAAGCACTGGACGGCCGTTTCGTCCTATTGTGGGACTCCTCAGCAGTGCGCATTCACGACCTCGCCCCCTGCGAGACTCGAACCCAGGACCTACTGGTTCCGCGCGCGAGCACTTAACCACTAGACCACTGAGCCGGCATCCAACGGTGTTCATGTCTAACTTCAACTAATCCACGAAATTGAGCTACAGATCCACCATTGTCTTAAGTGAGTTTCTATCCGACAACAGACCTAGTTGAACTCCACTGGTCATTACTTCTCACTAGAACTCCAGGATATACCTCTTGAAGTCAGTCACTAGTGAGCATATGTTGATTATTATCAGAGGGGGTTTTGTGGAGATTGTAGTGATTTCAATCATGGTGGTCTAGCTTCAACTGACTCATGATCTTAATAATAATAATAATAATAATAATAATAATAATAATAATAACAATAATAACAATAATAGGATAATCAAATTAATTAAGGTCAAGGTAACGATAACGATAAGACGTACCTTTTTTGTACGCATAGTTCTGGTTTAAGTTCCTGAATGGTAAGAGCTTCGGCTATTTTTAATAGTTGGATACGAAGAAATCTGGGTAGATTTGAACGAATCATATAAACAAACTTAAAACCAATTTGTGGATCTATAGAACGGTAGCATACACATAGTTCCCTTTATCATTTTGAAAAGAGCAAGAACAAACATTCTAGCAGAATAGCATGAATTCATTTTTATTTCGTTGGTTCTCGTCAGCTGCTTACAACCTGTGATATTTAAAATTATAATTACATAATGGGTTTAAATTACTTACATGAAAAAGCTTGATTGGAAGTTATATTGAAGGCATATTCGTATAGTATAGCGAGGGCGTAAATAAATTTAATAGACTGAATATTGTAAATATATACCTTATATAAAAGAACATTGTGACAACGGTTCAAAGGGCTAGAAACAAGTAAACATTGATAGGAAAAAATAATTGAGTAGAGTTCAGTTGATAAAAATAAGATTAAAATTTTTTTGGAAGATAGTTGGAATAAAACTCAATGATGTGATAAGTGCAAGAAAGAGTTCGAAGAAAACAAAAAAATATATATATTGAGATACAGCGGAGGAATATTAGTCACCAAGGCAAGGAAAGATTAATAACCATCTCCTTTTGAACACATAAATCAGGTTTTTGGCGTCTGATAGCAACTGCTTCAGCAAACTTCAGAAGACTGGAGTTTGGCTGCTTACTAATCACCTTGAACGATTGTAGGGTATCGACCTGATGTCCTGTATCAAGGAGATGTTTGGTGATTGCACTATTTAAAGTCTTTCTTTCTCTTGTTCTGAGGCTTTTTGGAACATGTTCAAAAAATCTGAGATATGCTCTCCTTTCTGTTCGGCCGATGTAGCTGCTTTGGCAGGTACACGTAAATTTATAAATACAATTGGCGGTAACATGAAAAGGATGCTTATCAACCTTTGATTGAATTATTGAACATGTTGTTTTATACAGAATTAGAAGTTTGGCCGCCGGATAAGTTCTGGCTAGCGTAGTATTCAGTCTCCTGTTTATTGTCTTTGCAACATCATCACCTTTGAAGTTAAGATTTATAGTTATTGGTTTCTTATTAACCGTAGTTACTTCAGTATTGTTTTCTTTACGCTTTTTATATTTGTCAATAAACTTTTGTGGGTAAAAGTTGTCTCTTAGTCATTTTTCCACGTTCATCAATTCTTCTTCCAGTTTGTCAGTGGTACATATCCTATCGTTTTCTTTGAACTTTTTCTTGCACTTATCACATCATTGAGTTTTATTCCAACTATCTTCCAAAAAAATTTTAATCTTATTTTTATCAACTGAACTCTACTCAATTATTTTTTCCTATCAATGTTTACTTGTTTCTAGCCCTTTGAACCGTTGTCACAATGTTCTTTTATATAAGGTATATATTTACAATATTCAGTCTATTAAATTTATTTACGCCCTCGCTATACTATACGAATATGCCTTCAATATAACTTCCAATCAAGCTTTTTCATGTAAGTAATTTAAACCCATTATGTAATTATAATTTTAAATATCACAGGTTGTAAGCAGCTGACGAGAACCAACGAAATAAAAATGAATTCATGCTATTCTGCTAGAATGTTTGTTCTTGCTCTTTTCAGAATGGTAACAGTCGATTAGGTGTTCAAGTATAGAACTCCTAACTGCTTTCTTTTCACTCTGATAGAACCAAGCTGGGATATGTTCTCGTATCCGAATTGAAAGTAAGCGCTGGCTACGGCCAATGTACCTTGCTCCACAAGAGCAGGTGAACTGGTAGATGCACATAGCCGCTAAACTGCGAATAACCTTCACTAGTAGGAACTTATTTTCTGTATCCATAAAAGATAAGCTTCCGCGTCTGGGCGCCTCAAACCCTACATCTTTTACTTTAGACTCCAGACATGCTTTTCATTTGATCGATGAGTTCAGATAGCTATTTTTTCTGTAAATTATGTGACAGAATGACTAAATCGAGACAAATGGCACTGGACATACACCTGTGCCAACACTCAAAAAACTTCAGTCAAAAATATCAGCAATGGAATAATTCAAAAACCCTTACAAATTAAATTAAATTCATACCCGTTAGATAAGTGAATGTCTTTCTGGATTCAATAATTAAATATACAAATGGTTAGGTTTGAATTCCTGTGGAAACATCAGCAGACAGATGCATGTATATTCATCTAGCGAATCTTAAATAGGATGAAACGCATACCCTGCATTCCATTGCAAGTCCAATCCATCTCACTTATTGATAGTTGTTACAAGTCCATGTGAAATTATTTAATAATTGTACCCTGAACTTTACTATTACTATAGAATTATTATGATGAATAACAAAATTCCTCACAGATTAATGTCTTATTTTGAGTAAAACGTTATATTTACATATAACTGTCATATTCATGTGATCAAATATTAAAATTTTGATGACATTAAATTTTTAATTCACATCTTATTTAAACCAGTCGAAATCACCTCTCTTATTGGATTATTTCAAAATAATGACACACTAAACACTCATCAAACTAAATTAGTATAAAATTAGAAACAGATATTAGTAATTGTAATATGTCATATTTGTGATTTGTTGTTAACTTTAAAGGTCATTTTGATTGTTAAAAATATTCTATTTTACGGTGCTCGACAAAATTGAAGGTTTATTTTACAACAACGATAACAGAGAAAGCAAATATCTTGGTGAATTACAAGTAAATTAATTACAGAAGTAAACAATATTCAAGCCAGTAATATCATCGAACAAATCTTCACACGAAATATAAAATGGCTTCCGTTTCTAAGATTATCTATTTAATTTCTATACTTGTTGCAATTGCATGTATTATTGTATCGATTGCCACTAATCCAACATGGAACGGTAAGTTCTTAAAACATGTATTGCTTTAAGAAATATCCAAAATCCTTCATTTTCTGTAAATTTATTCTGTTCATTTCATCAATGACTTTAAACGGAAAGAATTTTATTTCCATGAACTGCCGATAATTTGCTGAAAGTAATGCGATAAATAGTTACATAACCATGAATCATACAATCGTTATTTCAGCGATAACATTTTTCATAGCATTTGGCACAGTTAAGTTTAATTTAAGACTAAATTTTTATCCAATGATCATCATCCATTTTTTATATTAAGATTATATGTTTATCTAAAAGATAATTAAATGCTTGTGATTTAATGGAAATATTGAGATAATCTTTTCAGGATCTTTATATATGTCAGAAGAGACTGATTAAATTTCAGCCCTTAACATCAACAACTGTCAGATCCAAATCCTAACAAATGAAAGAGGATGAAACGGTCGTCCATTATTTCTGGTTTTCAATGATTGTGAGATTCAACATTCCCTAAGACCATATTTTGAAATAGAAAAGGTCTAATCTGTAAAAAACATCGTATTTGTCTACTTCGATTCATTTACTTAGAAAATGTAAAGTTCGTTGTGTCTGTTTTTTTCTGATATCTTTTATGTAGATAATACAAATAATTCCTCGTTGAGAGCAAATGGAGGACTTAGTATAGCCGGACTGGTTTTGTTAGTAATAGCAGCTATCCTTGCAATTGTTTTGATTTGCAGAGATTATTCCAGAAGAATTGTGATTGCAATACTTGTTTTACTAATTTTAGCCTGTAAGTTTATAAAATTTTCAGTTAAACTTATTACAAAGTGTGCTTAATTGTGATATTAAAAGTACATGGATATATATATATATATATATATATATATATATATATATATATATATATCACAATTTTATGGTAAAACATTAAGATACTTATGACATAAATGTAGAACGACTAATTGTTTGCCTACAATTTTAGAGTTTTTACTTATTATTGTTTTAAAAAAACCCCACAAAAGCCTGATTACCAGCTCAGAATGATTAGCATTACAAAAGGTTAAAGGTTTATTAAGATGATGAATTAATAAATGTATCGGATACATTTCAATGAAACAAATTTTGTAGATGATCCTTTTTATTATGAAAATACTTCATTTTCAAACGTTTGAACAATTCAAATATTCAGAGATATTTTTTATTTCATATGAATTGTACTAAAATAATTATTTATGAGTATAATGATAAATCACTAGAGAATGCTACTTTAAAATGCATTAATGAAGAGTTTAAGAAATAGAATGAAACGCGTATTCATTGGATCTCGATTTTTGTTAGTTGTTTAGCTGAAATCAATCAGTCAGTTAGTTGAGCAAACTATCTCTCAGATTAGTTTTAACTGTAATGTTTTCACGAAAGTGTCTATAGACTTCAGGGAAACTAGTCTGATTTTTCTTGCAGTTTAATATATAAAACAGTGTTGATAAACGTCACGTTCATCGTTCATATATTATATTTATTTGGAGTAATATTCCTTCTTTGTATTAAAGTAACGAATACAAACGGAATACAAATATGTCGTGGATGGGACACGCTTTTAGGAAATGATAATAAATGATGATTGTCTTAATTCATGAATTAATTGAAGTTAGCTATGAAGACAGTTAAATGTCAGCTGAATGGTCTAAATGTATCATATTCATCATGAAACCTAAAGGTTCTAGATTCGAATTCTGGCAGGATTATTAATGTGCACAGTTGAGAAGTTTTAAACTAAGGTAAAACAAACGTCTAATGTTCACTCGATTTTTATTGGTTATGTCAGGTTAACAAATTCTTCAGCATATATCTAGGTCTATTTTATACTAAATTAATTTATCGAGTTGAATCACTTGAAAATTACTTTATCAACATTAAACTAACTTTTTAGTCTTTTTTCTATTAATTTATCTAAATTATTTGTAGTGATATGTTTCATAATCGCTTTGGCTATTTATGGTCAACAGATTAATTGGCAAGCATGGTTATTATCAGCTATGTGGGTAACGTTTATTTGTATTCTTATCGCAATAATATTCTTATTGGTTGATGATTATTAGATTGCAAGTATTGTTAACAGTCTCAATGGTTTCCTTACATAAAACAACATAATCTTATTTAAATAAAACAAATGATTATATCCATTCATACAATAAATTTAAATATTTGGTTGTTTATTCAAATACCCTGTTTGTTTATCTATTTTTCTTTCATAGTTCTATAAATTAACTCTGATTTATTGTAAATTTTATTTCACTTTATCCGATATTTCTTAACTTGTCTAAATACTATCCCACTAATTTCGATTTTTCTTGAAACTTATTCGTAAAAGAAGGAAGGATATGAATGTCTAGGTATCCTAAAATTGGTAATATTCTTTTTATTGTTAGGAGACAAATTAATTTCATTGTTATTAATATAATGCAAATGTTTACTTAATTGGTTTGTATTGTTATCATAAACTTTTTTAATTTATGCCGCCTATATTTGTCAAGTTTTTACGTAATCAGTATTTCTTATCGATTAAATAGAAATAAACATTTAAATAAAAAAGTAAAACGTTTTAAATTTGACGATTGTTTACACATTTTTTTTTACTATTGAATATGAGACGCTCAGTTGACAACGTAATGAATTTGGTTGCTACAATGAAAAGGTAAGTGATTGAGTCTAGAATTAAAATTATTTATCCTAAAAATGTGTCCAGCAGAGGTAATGATGCATGCATTGTGTGTTCATGGATTCTTACTTTTAAACTACAAAAAGAACACTTGATATAAAGTAATAATTGTTGTACAATATAAAGAACCTAACATAAGAAACTGTGATGAGAATGCTTACATCATGGCTTCATGTTAGAAAGACAGCGAACAGAAATCAGATAGTTCTAAAAAGCTGCTTCATTTCAGTAAAGATACATTCCCTAACAAAATTTGATGTATACCATTTCGTATAAAATTATTTAAAAATTTTAATGTAACATAATGTTTACAATCTAAAGTTTCATGTTTAACACAAAATCGAGTGATAACATGAAAGATGTTAAAACCATTCAGTTCTCCGTGATATTTAATAATTTCACAATTGATGATGAAATATTATAAATAGGGAAAGTTCCGTAAACTAAGAATCACTTTACTGGGAGTTATTTCGTTTGGGTGAATGTGAATTTATAAGTGTAGATTGTTGGATTATCTTAAGCTAAAACAGTTGTTCACTAATCCAGTTAACATCAGTTCAAAAGATCTACAAAAACCAATAAACGTTTATCAAGATTGTCTGAAGTCACTAATAGTATTTGTTGAATCATACTGTAGTGAATGCATCATTCATCGATGTTGATAAAACAATAATAACAAATAGAGTATCAGTAAGTGTATTTTACTACCATTAGTTTTTGTTAGGATGAGAAATAACTCCATCAATAAAGTTATTGATTATCTAGGTATCCTGTTAAATTTAATTGTTACGATTAATAATTAATAAGTTGGTAGTCATTTACCAATTAGAAATGAACAGGAGGCTTATTCAAAATCAAGACATACGGTTCGGCAAATAATTAGACAAAAATAGAATATTTTTTTATATGTATCAATCACAGGTTCAGTGCTTTAAGAGTAACTTCATATATCAGGTTCTCTTTGTTAATTTGAAGAGAGCAAGAACAAATAATTGAGAAGAATAACATAAATTCTTTTCTCTTAGGTTCTCATCAGCTGCTTACAAATCATAATATTTTAGATTAAAAATTACCGTAAAGTTTGAATATTTATAACAGTAAAATTGGATGCGTATCGTCATGGTAGAGCAGCGGTTTGGATAAATATAATGAGATTGGCAACATATAAAGTGTTGTAAATAAATATAATGTGTAAGAGAAGCTTCTGGATCACAAGACATGGTAACGAGATATCATAGGGCTGAAATAATTAATTGATTATGTAATGTGGCAGCTAAACATAAATTAATATCATTTATATAAAACATGAGATGAGATCAGTCAGTCAAAAATAAAACTGTAAATTTGAAAGAAGTAATGTAATTAAAACAAAAGAGAAAAATTGCAAAAATGGCATAATAAAGTGACGATAAGCCATCAAAGTAAGAAGTGGATACAACTGTTTCCTTATGAATACATAAATCATGCTTGAAGTATTTGGTGTCTATGCATTCAGTGAATTTGAAAAGAATAGAATTTGACTGCTGATTGATGATGCTGAAAGATTTCAGTCTATCAACTCGATACTCTGTTTCAAAAAATGTTTTGCAATAGCACTGCTAGGAGCCTTTAATCTCATTGATCTGAGATTTTTTGCGATATGTTCTTGGAACTGAAAGTAGGTAGTAGAGAGATGTATGGACAAATATATTTGTAGATAAACAGATGGATTGATAGATAGAACGTTTTTCACACTTATAAAAGAATGAAACCCTTATTCTTTGAAACAATATTGAAAAGGAAGGTTTTCTAGATATTATAGTAATTTTAATGGTTGAGATCATGAGTCAATTGAAGCTAGACCACCACGGAAACCTGGAAGCACTAAACGGCCGTTTCGTCCCATTGTGGAAATCATCAGCATTGAGCAATATTGAAAATACATTAAATTTATTGCTTCATTAACTATATATGTTTTTATCAGATTAATGCATGAAATAATTTCTATTCTGATTTGCAAGCAGGTAAATATTTGATAAACTAATCACATTTTATTTTTACATAATACTCACTTTAGGTGTCTGTAGTTTAATACAAATTTGACAAGATGGTAAAATGATTGAACAACCATCTGAAATTGTGTTATTTTGTCATAGACTAAATCAATACTATCAAGGAGAGATGTGAGTTAGTATAAACAACGAGAATTGTAGCATATATATCATTTATAATAATAAATACACAAATTTACAACACATGAATTTTTATTGCCGTTAGTTCACTCTTTAGTAGACAACGAATTCTTTTCAAAATCCATTTGATTCTACATGTTGGCCATTATAAAACTTTGTGGAATAAGTGATTATTTATTAAAAATACTTTGAATTGCAATCGAATATTTTCAAGAATAGTTAAATAACAACAATGAGGACTACTAAACATTATTTTGTACGCATAAGTTTTAAATAGATATTCACTGCTGTAATGCAAGATATTCAATTATTCTGACATGTACATTATTATTATTATTATTATTATTATTACTGAACTAACAAAGCGAAATCTGAAATGTATAATATTTTACTACATGCAATAATTGCATCTATGAACTTATTCACTTTTATAGCAACAGAATTAAAAAATGTTAATGAATTTTTCAAACATAGAGATAACTTTTATGATCAAATTACAAAAAGACGTCAAATAAGGAAATTTGAACAAATGTTTATTCATTCGTTGAAATAAATCCAAGGAACTCAATATAAACAAAATAGTGGCAAATCTATCTATCAGACATTTAAATCAACACGAACTATCACTACTTAAAAAAGGTCTCAATTTGAATATGAACAAAACTCGAATTTCGGCTTCTGAAATTATTCCGTTGATCGAGCCTGCTTTAAACAGTTTTCCGGATGATCAAGCAAATTCAGTGAGGTTTAAAATCTCAGCTGAATTGTTGAATCAGAAAGCCAATACGCTTAATATTTCCAAAGAAGAAATGTATGCCTTTAAACAGTTACGTAAAGACATAAAAACTGTTATTATGAAAACAGACAAGGAAAACACCACTGCTGTTGTGAATAATTCTGACTATGAAAGAAAAGCCAATGAACATCTCCACAATGGACCCCATGAAAAAATCATGAAGAACAAATGTAGAGCCACTTTAAATAAGTTAAAAGCTGAAACCGCCAAAATACTACAGAAGTTAAAATTCAAGCTAGGACCGTCATAATGGTTCTTTTTATATCCGAAAAGCAATAACCCTTGTAGATTTTTGGCCTACCGAAAATACATAAAACAGATATTCCACTAAGACCTGTGATTGATTACATAAATTCACCAACCTATAATCTTTCTAGATACCTAGCCAAAATTCTTAAACCGTATGAAAGCGTAATAAAATATGGAATAAAACATTCTAATGATTTCGAAAACATTGTCAGTAATATCCGCATAGAAGAAATAATGGCAAGTTTTGATGTTTGCCAATTGTTCACTAATGTTACTGTTAATAAAGCTTTAGATATTGCATATAACCTCTTAGATTCTAACACTGAACCTAAACAACGTTGTCCTCTAGATCCTTCAGACATTATTAGAGCGTTTGATCTATGTTTACATTTAGTTGTTTTCAGTTTTCGAGGAGATTTTACGGACAAATAGAAAGTGTAGCTATGGGATCACAGGTTCCTCCAGTTGTTGCCAATTTATTCATGCGTTCACTGGAAACAAGTGCTATCTCAATGTGTTCCTTTCCACCGAAAATTTGGTTAAGATGCGTAGATGACACTTTTGTCATTATGAAACGAGATGGCTTAGACGAACTATTTAAGCGTGTCAACAACATTTACGATAAAATCAAGTTGACTAAAGAGATGGAATCTCCTTAACGCAAATTACGTTTTCTAGACTGTTTAGTTGAAAGGTAGTATAATAATTGTTTAAAAATTAGTATTTTCCGAAAGCCGACATATTCAGGGAGATTTCTAGATTTCAAGTCTGCGCATCCACACTAAGTGACAGCAGTCAAAAATTTGATCACCGGAGTCAAAAACTTGTCACTGAACCAAATGATATAAAAATGGAAATGAATATAACAGTATCCACTTTAATGATGAATAATTATCCGAAGGATTTTATTAAAAAAATAATTAAGAATGAAGAACAAAATGATATTATTAAAAAAAGAGTTCAGCAAAAAGAATGGATTAACACACTCGTGATACCATATCGTAAAAGTATTTCAGAAGAAATCAGAAGGATTCTATCTCTTCAAAATATAAAAGTATTCTTTCGAATAAACAATACTTTAAGATCAAAACTAGTAAGAATCAAAGATCCAATGCACAAGGAAGAACCACAGAATTGTGTATGTGAAATCAAATGTACTGACTG